GCCAAAAAGGCCAATGGAATCCTGGGCTGCATAGGGAAGAGTGTGACCAGTAGGTGGAGGGAGGTCATTCTCCCCCTCTACTCGGCACTGGTGAGGCCACAACTGGAATACTGTGTCCAGTTTTGGGCTCCCCAGTTCAAGAGGGACAGGGAACTGCTGGAGTGAGTCCAGCGTAGGGCAACCAAGATGACTGAGGGATTGGAGCATCTCCCGTATGAGGAGAGGCTGAGAGAGCTGAGACTCTCCAGCCTGGAGAAGAGAGGGCTGAGGGGAGACCTTACTATGGCACACGAGTATCTGTTTCTGACGTTGAAAGAGGTAACATGCTCTGGGCAGTTCTGCTTTAGCAGGGGAGTGGGATTAGATGATCTCTAGAGGTCCCTTCCAACCCTGAAATTCTGTGATTCTGTGATTTAGTGAGTTTGCTTCATTAATAGGTGGCTAATTAAGCACTGATCCACGCTCGCCTTGTTGGGGATGGGAAGCAGCCGCCCAAGCCTGGACCCTATCCTGAAAAGTCTCCCGGGGTGACGGTGCACTGTGGGGTGGGAGTACCCGACACCAAAGAGCGATGCTACACCTCGACTCTTTCAAAGTCCACCCCGCTCACAGCACGGGATCATCTCCTCTTGCCGGGGGAACGGTACCGAAGAAGAAAGGTGAGTTTAAAGCCGTTTCTTGCCCAAAACACGGCTGAACAGGGCAGCCCCCCCGCAACAAGGGGCAAGAGCCGACGGGGCGGGCACTGCTCCATCCCTGTGGGCCACCATACGGGGCAAGGGACATTCTCGGAGCAGCCGAGGGGCACCCGGGCTCCGGGGAAAGCAGGCTGGACACCGCCGGCGTGAGGAAAGCTGTTGCACGTCCCCAGTCCTTAACAGAAGAGCTGGCGTTACAAAACTCCCGTCTTTGAAAAGAGGAGGTGAAAATTCCCACACTAATCGCAACCGGAGGCAGAAAGAGAGCCTCTAATTTCAGGGAAGAAAAAAAGGAAAAAAAAAAAAAATATTGCTCGACAACAACAAAAGAGCTTTCATGGAATTTGAAACAGTATCTCGGACCTCGTGGGAGCAGTGAGGGCAGAAATGGCACTTGGGAGGGAAGAACCGTCATCCCACGGAGAAATCCAGGCTGTAGAACTGCAGACACCCCCCCCCAGCGCTGAGCCTTCCCCCGGCCACTGCCCACCCCTCCGAGGTTTTCTTCACCACATTCCGAGGAGGAGAAGAGGATTTAATGGCACAACCCCGGCTGGCAGCGGGGATGGCGGAGGGGTTCACGTCTCTCCTCTCTCCCGCAGCAGCACCCAGCAACCGGGAGGGGAAATGAAAGATAAATTAATTAATAACTTGGCTCTTCGTTAGTGTGAGAGGTTGATTCTTCTTTTATTAAGAGCTGGTTTTGCTCATTGGTTTTTGGCTTTGTGGGTCCAGCCAGCAAGCA